TTTTCTTTACAAACTAGGAGGGAGATAGCAAACATGAGGTAAGTGATTGGACACTCCATATCAATGATGCCCTCTTGAATGTTTTTTTTTTCCTCAAGCGCATTATTATGTTACATAAAACTGAAGTTTGTATGAAAGGAAAACAAAAAAGTGTTTTTACAGTATGATAAAGAATGGGCTGACTTCTCTACAACCTGCCAAGATAGATGGTTATCAATAAAATTGCACATTTCATTTGACAGCAGAAACCAAGATTTTTGAAATTAAAAATGAAAATCAAGGCGAAGCAAAGAGTCCAAAAATTACCGTATTTTTTAATCAATAATCTTTTCACAATAAAAGTTGTAACAAGTTTGCTACTTATCCGTATACTCTTAATCACCTAGATACCAGAGATCAGTAATTCTCAACTGATTTTGACCCAAGACAAAACTGGCAGTCCAGAGACATTTTTGGTTGTCACAACTGGGATATGGGGGGGGAGGGGTTGTGTGGGGGGAGCAGGTCTTATTGCCATCTCCTAGGCAAAGGCCAGAGGTGCTGTTAAACATCCTGCAATGCAGAGCACAGCCCCACAACAAAGAATTATCCAACCCCAGATGGCAATAGTGCAGAGACCTAGATACCTTGCTCTAGTTCCCTCACAATCCACTCACAGCTAAATTCTTGGGAGAATGGCAGCATTTGCCACCCCAATTCCACCGCTGATTCATTCTTCAGCTGACATGTTCACTTTCCACTCCTAGAGCCCACAGGTACTTCGTATTTAACCATCACATGACATTTGCATTGCAAAATACTTTTTCTTTCTTAAAATTGTTTCCTTTTCTTGTCCCTTCACTCCCCATACGCCATCACGCTGATACCTCTCAGAGCCTCCTGAGCCAGTACTTCTTTCCTTTGTCCACCATTAAATATGGGGGTTCCAAGCAACAGGAGTGACCTCAGCCCTTATTAACCATCCCTGACCACAGCCTGCCTGGGCAATCATGTCTACTTCTTTTTCTCCTCCCATCACTTTACCCTCTATGTGGTAAAGACCTCTCTTCTCAATTCTAGAAATTCCCTTTTTAATGGAACATGAGATATGTTTACCTCGAGGTCTCATTGGTATGTCAAACAATACAGCCAAAGCTCACCTCAATCTCCTATTCCCATTTCAGTTGTTTCTTCTCTCCTGTACCCGCCACCCCTACGGATGTAGCACTATAGACCTAGTCACTCGACAGAAACAAAAACAAACAAAAAACCAAAGAAGCAACCACTGGGAATCATCTCGTATCCCCTGAATCCCTAAACTGACCATAAAGTGATATGCCTTATAATTTCTAAATATGACTCATACTATTTCCTTCTTTCAATCTTCACTGCTATTTTCAGTTCAAAATCTGATATATAGTCTTTTCTGAATGATTTGACAACTTATTGACTCATCTCTGACTTTAATCATCATCTCCTTAACCCAATTTTCAATTCTCTTTCAAGGACTATTTTACATAACAAAAAAAAATCTACTTTCCCAACTTATGGTGCTCACCAATCTTTCAAGCTACCTTATAGTTCTCATACACAGTGTTGCTAGGCTTCCATTCCTTCCTTTACTGGATGAAAAAGAGATGTGTCATAATTGAGCATTTAGGTTACGTGTTCTAAATTATGAAGGCCGAACATGTACCTCATCTATCACTACTGTTGTATCATTTTATTTAAAAATATATACCTTGGTAACAAATAATACTGAAATACCACAATGCTTTGACCCAAATTTCCATATTAATACATTTTATGAAACACATAAGGAAAGACAGATGACTGATGATCTAATGTGAAAGAGATGAGTAGCATATAAATGGGTATTATTTGATCTTGTGTTGCCTCAAATGGCATGAACTGTTGACACGGCATTAGAAGAAAGAATTTTATTCACTAGCTAAATCCAATTTAGAAGCCTTCTTGTTTTCCTCTCTAGGTCAAAAAGTATTTTTAGAATTTCTCAAAGCTCATTGATTTAAAAATAAAAAGTGCTACTGTCACATTACACAAGAAGAAAATCATGGTTTAAAATTTTCTTCCTAAAACAAGTGTGATTGATTATTAATGACACAAGTAGGAAAGCAAGCAATCTTTAGATTAAATAAAAACGCAAGATGAATGCATGTAGGGAAGAATTTTAACAAAGCTAAGGTTCAGGGGAAAAAATGTTTATAGCTGCCCAACAATAAAATGACTGGCAATTTAGATAAACTTTAATATTAAGAAGAAAAATTAGTTGAAGATTAAAAACAGATATTTGTTGCTGAGTAGATAAAATTAAAAAAAATCATTTTAATTAAAAATTCTTTATTGCTATTTATGGAGTAGGCCAAATTTCAATTAGAGTGTTTTCCCAAATATGGCACAATTCCCTAAAATTAAAATTAGACTAATCAGGATCTGGTCTTTAAATCTCCATTAACTTATTGCCTAAGTCTTCGTCACTTAACCATCACGGGCTTCATTTTATCTATAAAATGGGAGAATAATGCCGATAACATTTCCTATAAAGGGAGGTGGGGGGGGGGCGGAAATCAATGGAATTTGACATTGAAATATTTCAATGTGTTTGAAAAATTCCAGGAATAAGATATTTCAAAATAAAAATAGAAGAGTCAGGAATATTTATTTTTGAGGTTTTTGTGTGTACATTTCAAATCTCACTAAGCTGCATCTAATTTAGCTACTTTTTGAAGTCAATTATAAAAATGAAATTACCTGGGGCCTTGTGCAAAATAGCATTGCTAGCTAAGGTTCTAATGCCCCTATCGCAAAGTACTTCACAAAACAAATTTGGGTTTTAGAATTCTCGTAGCCTTTCCTATTGGACATACACATTTCAAGCATTAGTGTGTTTCAGATTTCCTGGTACAAACTGTAAATCAAAAGTTCAGACACTTAAGAACAAAAGCTTTCATCTAGGTAGCTGAAGAAGAAATCATATGATTTTATTTACTAAAAGATGCTTCCCTGTGTAAAGCTGACGTATTCCAGAGAATTGCAACACACATATATGCAAGTTTCCCAATCCAGTTTGATACCATGTAGCACATGAGTATAACTACCTAGTTTAATTACAGACATGAGACGTTGAGCTATTATTTTGCACTCCCTTCCCAGCTACATAAATAAGTCTCGTGCATCTTGAAGCATCTCAATTTTCTTATCTATGAAGATCTACTGGTACAACCAGAAAGGTGAAGAGTAAATTTTTTACATCCAACTATTACCATCTTATTAATGATCAATTCCAGATAAAATCTTTCCACAGAATAGCTAATATCAAAATTTCATGGTACTGTTTAAATTAGGACACAAATTTGATCCTTACCTATAAACCATAATAATAATAATAATAATAAACAAATCTATCATGTATTTTAATACATTCTGGAAAATAATGTATGAACTTATGAAGGCAATGTTCACATAGATGCAAAGCATTGACCTCTTGACTTACTAGTGCTATTCGGGCTATCTGCTGAACAAATATATATATATATATATATTTTTTTTTTTTTTTTAAGTGCCAGAGGTCAAGCCTTTAACTATTGCTGACTCCCAAGACTGAACAAGACCCTTCCACGTATAAACATTTTGTCCTTATAAAAACCATGTTTCTGGGGCGCCTGGGTGGCGCAGTCGGTTATCACGACTTCAGCCAGGTCCTCGCGGTCCGTGAGTTCGAGCCCCGAGCCGGGTCCTCTGGGCTGATGGCTCAGAGCCTGGAGCCTGTTTCCATTCTGTGTCTCCCTCTCTGCCCCCTCCTGTTCGCTCTGTCTCTCTCTCTGTCCCAAAAATAAATAAATCGTTGAAAAAAAAAAATTTAAAAAAAAAAAAAAAAAAAAAAATAAAAAACCATGTTTCTTCCCTGATGAGTTTGTTGGTAGAAAAATAAACAAATAGAGTTGCTGTCATTGTTCCTGTATTCTCCCCACACCTAGGGTAGTGATTCCTGAGTTCAGACTGGAAGTAATAAAAGAGTTAATATAATCTAGGGAGTATATTCTTTTTAAGGTCATTTGTTAAAAGTTAGATTTAGCAATACTAACATAATAATATAATATAATATAATATAATATAATATAATATAATATAATATAATATAATATAATGTAATATAATGTAATATAATATAATTAATTAATATATTATATTATAATATAATATAACATAACATAATACACTATATATAGATAAGTAACACAAACAGGTATAAAATACTGGATTTATGCCCTATATTTGAGGCCACGTTAGACATAAATTTTGCATTTCAAAATAGCTGACTTTACGGGGCGCCTGGGTGGCTCAGTCGGTTAAGCATCCGACTTCAGCTCAGGTCATGATCTCACAGTCTGTGAGTTCGAGCCCCACATCAGGCTCTGTGCTGACAGCTCAGAGCCTGGATCCTGGTTCAGATTCTGTGTTTCCCTCTCTTTCTGCCCCTCCCCTGCTCATGTTCTGTCTCTCTCTGTCTCAAAAATAAATAAAAACATTAAAAAAAGGTTTTTTTAATAAATAAATGGCTGACTTTAATACTTGATTATATCTTTCATTAATAATTCCAATTTTAAATATCAGCATCATTGCCACTTTGCTTTAATGTAAAAGCATAATTTCCACTTTGATTCAATATAAATAAATTTACTGTAATACCATAGCTTGACATTATTTTGACCAGCTTTCTTTGGAGAAGGCAAAGTAAAATTATGCACAGTGTGTTGACTTTTCTTCTTTAGGTATTAAGTAGCCACAGGGACAAATCAAAGCTTACTAAAAATAAATCAAAGTTAAAGTGCACGCCATTTATAAGATTCATTGTGTTTACTTACATGCCACTTCCAGAGATGCATTTCGACTCACTGCTTCGCCAAGATAGTTCCTTGCAACACAAACGTAGCTTCCTTCATCAGGTTTGCTTCTGCGCCCATGTACAATGCGCAAGAAGAATAAGGATCCGCTGGGCAGAAGCATCCTGTGAGACCGGGGATCATCCTTGTCAGTCTCCACCCGCTCACCATCCTTGTACCACTCAATGGTGGGCGTTGGCCGGCCCTCTGCCTTACAGTTCAAAGTGGTGGGCTCTCCCTTAGAGACAATGACATCTGAAGGGTGCTCCACAATCCGTGGCGGGAAGTCTTCCTGGCGAAGACGAGATCCTATAAACAGGACAGAATGAAGACAAGCTTTAACATTTCCTTATCTATAGCTCTTGTTTGGCTTAGGTTCACATTGAAATCCCCAATTATTCAAAATGCCCTTATTACTATTTTATTCATGCTTCATTCTTTGGTTCTTGATGCAGCTCCTAAGTCGTTGCCAGTCCTTTGCAGAATGTGATAATATACCATTGCATTAATATGTTAATTCTGATGAGTTAGGTTTAAATTTTCCATGAATTGTGACAAGCAAAAGTAAAAGAGAATATGAGATTTTCTGTTGGGCGCTAAGAAGAGTAAGATTAATCTCCTATCCTTGAAGTGATTACTATCTACTGGGGGACAAAACCAAGTGGGCAACTATCTAGAATATACAATGCAGTGTATCATACTGGCATTGTGTCATCAGATTTAACATAAAAAGATAACCCACAAATTATATACAAATATTAACTCAATTTAACAGATAAGGAAGCATCTCAGGAAATGACATCAATTTCCCAGAAATGTAGAGGAAATAAGCTGATGAGGCAGGATTTGAACTCAGGGATATATGACTGAGGAATTCAAGTATAAATCATTATATTAAAATAAAATAAATGTTGCATGGAGGTCCAAGAAATGCATTACAGGAAGAGAGTGGAAAAAGAAATGTTAACTTTAACTGGATTATAATGAGGCCTCCCCCAAAAAGGTGACATTTAATTGAGCTGTAAAGAATAAAACTATGTAAATAGAGGGGAAAAGACATTCAAATTGTAGAAACAATGTGAGAACATGAGAGTATATGCATAAATAATATATTTCATAATCAGGGAGGAAATTGATATGGCAGGTGGGGGTGAAGGGTAGTTTTGGAGCCCAGAAAAAAAGGCTTTAAATAACATGCTAAGGATTGTGATCTTCATTCTATATGGCTAACAGATTTTGAGGGGGCAGTGACATGACTATCTGTATTAGATAGTTTTGGTGCGCAGTATAAAAGATAAAGAGCAATGGAGGCAAAAGGAGAAAGTTACTTAACTATTCTGGAGAACAATAAAAAGAACTTGACTTTGAGAAATGATGCTGAAGGTAGAAAAAAGAAGACAGAGGCATACCATAAAATAACCCTTGATAGAATCTGCTATCTCACCATAGAGTCAGGAAGAGTTGTAGGCACCAATGACTTCCTTGTAAGTACAATGAAAGGGGAGCCATTAAGTGGTAGAAAAAATAGGAAGAAAACAACCTGTTGGTATTTTGAGATCAAAATTTTCATAATGTGTTGTTTTATATATTTTTAGTTTATAAGGTGTCACTGGCCATTATTTGTGAAAGCGTCTTACCAGCTCTTGCGCATAAATCTAACAGAGATCGTGAAAGAGATAACCGTGTCAGTTGGGGTGCCTGGGTGGCTCAGTCAGTTAAGTGTCAGACTCTTGATTTCAGCCCAGGTCATGATCTCTTGGTTTGTGAGAGCGAGCCCCATATCAGGCTCTGTGCTGACACTGTGGAGCCTGCTTGGGATTCTCACCCTCTCTGTGCCTTTCCCCTGCTAGTGCGCTCTCTCTCAAAATAAATAAATAAACTTAAAAAAAATAACCATGTCTGAGGCCATAATGATAGTCTAGATACAAGTTTTAACATTTTCCAACCAATCATCTAATATTAGCACATTTCAGCTTCAAAAATAAATAAATCTGAGAAATATTAACTTCCCAAGGTTGTTGAATACAATTTGTTATCTCATCAGATCCAAGAAGGAACTTAAACATTACAAGTGCTGGGTACCTAAAGCAAAAGAGTACAAAGGTCAGAATTTATTTTTTTTTTTTAACGCACTAAAAAAAACCCAAAGCATATAAATATGGACAGGTAATCACCTTGTGCATCACAATAACAAAGGTTATATATATATTGAAAATACTGGATCACAAAAGCAAATGAGGAATTTCAAGAATATAAAAAGTAAGATGTATTTTTAAAAGAAACAATCAGAAAAGATCTCAAAGTATTTAAATATGAATGTCTAATCACAGTGGCAAATCAGTAACATATTCCCAAATGTAAAGATCTGGTCTCAGAGCCATACAATCTGATCCTAAAATGGAACAACAGTTAATCTTACTCTTCATGTAACAGGCATATAGGCTACAATCACCTTGTTTAGATACCTTTCTTGTTCTCTAATTTGCCACGTGAACTTATCTGCAGCCCCCCTATGTCAAAGTTGTTCTGTTATTAAAGCTAAGCAAGTCAATCATCATGTTATTAGAGTGCTCTTCACTTTATCAAATAGTTCCCCACCTTATTTGGCAGTTGGCCCAGATAAGGCCTGCAAAGAACCTAAAATACACAAATACTTATTAAATAAAATAGAAAATAATGAACTTATAAAAGGAAAAAAGGCAAAATATCTAGCCCCCTTAGCACTTACACCTAGAATCCAGCATGTCCAATAAGCCCTCAGAGAATTTTACCCATTAATCACTATAGCATATGTAAACCTAATCTGGTGTTGTCACCCTTGGATATTCTTCTAGTCATTGTATTCCCACTGTTATAAAAACTTCAAAAAGACATCTACAATCTAAATGGAAGAGGTAAAACTATCCATTAGAAGAAATTATAAGAGCAAATTTTCATGACCGTGAGTTAAGGAAAACTTTCTTGGACACCAAAAGCACAGGCAACAAATCAAACAGATAAATTGGACTCATTGGATTTAAATATTTGTGCTTGGCGGGTGGGGGGAGGGAATCAAAAGAATGAAAAGACAACCCACAGAATCAGAAAGAAAATATCTGCAAATCATATAGCTGATAGGGGACTTATACCTAGAATATAAAGAACTCATAGCATAATAAAAAAAATGCAAAAAAATGCAAATAACCAAATTTTAAAATAAGCAAAGGATTTGAAATAGATATTTTGCAGACAAATGGCCAATAAGCACATGAAAAGATTCTTGACATCATTAACTACTAGGGAAACGTAGATCAAAATCTCCAGTGAGACATACTTCCCACCCAGAAGAATGGCAATAATGAAAAAAAAAAAAGTAAAATAACAAGTATCGCCAGGGATGTGGAAAATCTGAACGCCTCATACATTGCTGGTGGGAATGTAAAATGGTGCAGCCACTTCGGATAATATTCTAGATTTTCTCAAAAATTTTGGAATTAACATATGACCGAACAATTCGACTTCTGGGGATATAACTCAAGAGAAAGGAAACCTTATAGCCACACAAAAACTTGTACATGAGTCTAATGTAATGTTCATAACAGCATTATTCATAATAACCAAAAAGAAGAGAGAACCCAAATGTCCATCAACTGACTAATACATGTTGTACATCCACATAATGGTATATTATTCAGCAGTGAGGAAAGAATGAAGTCCTTATACACACTACAACATGGATGAACCTTAAAACCATTATACTAAGTGAAAGAAGCTTATCACAAAAGGCCACATATTACATGACACCATTTATATGAAATGTCCAGAAGAGGAAAATAGAGACACAATGCAGGTTTGTCATTATCTAGGGTGGGGAATAGGAGTTGGACGTGAAGGGGTATCAGGGTATCTTTTGGAGGTGATGAAATATTCTAAAACTGATTACGGTGATGGTTGCACAACTCCGTGATAATAATAAAAGCTATCATATTGCACACTTTCGATAGGTGAGTTATGTGGCATATAAATTATTTCAGTAAAGCAATTTTTAAAAAGTTATGGGTAAGGCATTGTGAACAAGCTTAACATAAGGGGTAAGAATTCATGTTCACCCATGCCAACAATTAGGTTATTATCTTCATTTATAATTCTTGTTTTGAAATATAATCATCAGGTCAGCAATATCCAACAGGGCATAAAATAAAGCTGAAAGGTTTCACCATATAGGTTGATAGATACACAAACACAGACAGACATGTAGATCTACAGAAATATATCTAAATTTTAAGATGTTATTAAAACTGAGGGGATTAATTCCGAACTCCCTTAAATTCAGACATTATGCAATATAGCAGTGACCTTAAGATAGATAAGCTTTAGGTAGGTAGTGAATTCTTTAAAATTGTACAAAATGGGTACTCTTGTGTGGGCAGAAAAGGAGAATTGTGAGGGGACCAAAGATTTCATCAAATTTGCAAAGAGGTCTGGGTCTTTAAAATTAGGAAGGACCACTAAACTACTAGGTATGCTACATTATTGGGCCAAATAACCCAGTTATTTCGTTTAAAAAAAAAAAAAAAAAGACAGCTGAGTTGTCAGCCAAACTTAATGGGGATTCAATACTGAACAGTAGAGGGGGCTGTACTTTATATGAAGTGTCCTGAAAACTTGAACTTTGACATCCAAAGGCAAATTGGAAAATACAGGACTCCCAGCCCAACCCAGGACCTACAAAATCAAAATCTGCACCCCCTCAGGGATGCCTCTGCAGGCAAAGTTTGAGAAGCATTGTTGTAACCAGTTTTTGCATGGCCCTCCCCTAAGAACGTTTTTACATTTTTAGTGTTGTTAGAAGACTAAGGAGAAGGAGGAACAATTAAAAAGAAGGTAGAAGAGGAAAGAGACCTCATGTGGCCTAAAACGTTGGAAATATCTGTTGATACTTTACAGAAAAAGTTTGCCAATCTGCTTTAGAGTACCTGTTTGTCACTTTCCATTAATAACTAATTTTTTCACTTATATTTCTTTTATATAGGATCATAAAACTGTTTTCTCCAGATTTCAGATGGGAAAAAAAAAAAAAACAACTTTGACTGCAGTGTTAATATTGCTCATGTAATTATTTGGGATTCTTTTTTTTTTTTTTTTTTTTTTAAATTTTTCCTTTTATTTTTATTTTGGGACAGAGACAGAGCATGAACGGGGGGAGGGGCAGAGAGAGAGGGAGACACAAGTCGGAGGAAACAGGCTCCAGGCTCCGGGCCATCAGCCCAGAAGAGCAGCCAGCGGGGCTCGAACTCACAGGACCAGCGGTCATTGATGACCTGGCTGAA